AAAAATACATTTAAATATTAAAATATTTCAGTGTCTTAATTAAATTATTTTATTGTAGTTACATTAAATGATTGGTGTTGTGCTGCTGTGACTTTACATGAGCAGGCTCACTATTGGCTGATTCAGAGGTCGAGGTCGGCCATTTTGTGTTGACATCATTGTAGTCCTTAGTTCACAACACTTAAGTGTCACCTCAGTCAACACTTAAGAATCAGTCTTAGACTTTACTGAAAGTTGCTTTTAGCTTCTTTATAAAGGTCTCCTACTCTTAGACAAGTCCTACTTTTTACTAAGAATTTTTTGACACTTAAGTCAAAGCTTAAGACTATTCTTAAGAGCATTTCTGAGAAGTTTTATACATACGGGCCCTGATCATCATCCAGTCTGTCTGCGAGTTCATGAAGAAACAGAACAAACTCAGACAGAATAAACCCAGAAGAACTGTGGCAACGTCTCCAAGATGCTTGATGTTTGGAAATGTGAACTGATATTTCCTACTGACACACTACAGCAAAAGATAGAAATAACTGACTTAAAACCATTTTTAGCTGGTGAAAATATAGTGTTCTAATAATTTTGGCCACCACTGTATATATATAGAGAGAGAGAGAGAAGAAAGAGAGAGAGATATAGAGAGAGAGAGTTGCAATCAAAATTGTTCAACCCCTCAGAGACTGCAGTACAAATGCAAGCTTTTCTGAAGTTCCAGGATTTTATAAAAATTGCATTAACAGTTTACTGGCATATTATTAAAAGTGATGACGTCAATATATAATGTAATATTTTCTTCTGCTTGGTTCAGGGATCAGTCATAGGATGTACTTGAGTGGCCTGTTCAGTCTCCAGATTTAACTCTCAGTGAAAACATTTGGCTGAATTTGAAGAAAGCAGTGGCAATGTGCAAACCAAAGATTATCAGTGACCTGAAAGCTTTTTCAGGTGAGGAATGAGCCAAGACTGCAGTAGAGAGGCGACAGACGCTTCTGAGCACTTATATGCAGCGTTAATTAGTGGTTTTAAAGAATAAAAGATTCTGCACAAAATTTGACTTTTATAATAATTTTGAACATGAATGTTTAGAGCCAGTTTGATTAGTATCATTGTTCATCAATGTTACATTCTCAGAATCACTCAAATGTGTATTAAGAAACTTTCTCTAATATTTCACTGATGCCTTTGTTGAACTGTTTTTATTACATTTTCTTCTCTGCAACAAAATGTCTTGCAGGTCAAGGGGGTTGAATAATGTTGATTGCAACTGTGTGTATATATACGTATATATAACGGCAATTGTGATCAGCTTAGTTTATAATACGCCAAATTCCATCTTCTAATAACAAAGCTACTTGCTGGGAATCTGTAACAATGAATAAGCTTTTTTATAACAGAAAACAATAGTGTGCTGGCTCTCTGGCTCTCCGTCTCTGTAGAACAGCATGCACTATTGACAGTTTGGAATGCAGGATCCACCCGTGACCCAGAAACTCAAAATAAAATAAAAAGGAGATACACAGGTTTCTCCACTCCTGAACAGGTTACTAACACTCTACAACAATGTTATATTTATTACCAGTTGTTAATTATATATATATATATGTGTGTGTGTGTGTGTGTGTGTATGTATATGGTGTGTGGTATGTGGTATATGCATAAATAAGATACATCATATAAATATGTTACACTGAGATTGGAGTAATTATGCTTTGAAAATGCATTACAGCAATAAATTACATTTTAACATATATTCAAATAGAAAATAGTTATTTCAAATAGTAATATGCTGGGCATCTCTGTTTGCGTTACGAAGGCACTTTTTTGTTATTTGCCATAAAGGGAGTGGTAATGTTAGTGTCAATGCAGTCAGAAAGAGAAAGTGTTCAGTTGTATCGGGACAATTACAACAGTTACATCGGTGGGAGGAGGTTAAGGACAGTATATTAAGCTTGCATTACAAATGTTAGGTTGCTTCTCAGAAGTCATTTTCCTGGCATTAGGTTTGGTAGCAAAAAACTTGAAAGATGTTTCGATTTATTATATTTATTGGATTGGCTTTGCTGATTGGTAGATCAATACCAACAGGTAAGACGTCTATTTAAAGCAAATATATTTGTATGTAAGTATGTGATGTATATGGGAGTATTTAATGCAAAAAAAGTATGTATTGAATAGGTATGCATTTAATGTACTGTATTTACTGAATTATACCTTATATGTGTTTAAAAAACTAAAAACATTATATATATATATATATTGCCAAACTGCACGTTTTGCACTTATTTAAATGATCAGTGAATTATAATTGCAAATGCTTGTGGTTTTTATTCAATAAATTATATGATGTTATAATAGAATTATATGAGCAATAACAGATACAGTTACACATAATTATAAAGTAGCCAATGTGTGACTAATTTAAACTATATAAATCCCCTAAGAATAAGGCATTTGTGAGAAGTGATTTATCCAAAGAGATTTACAGTACACTTAGTGGTGCTGCTCAAGCATCACAATTAATACTGCATATTGTTAGAATATCTTAAAAAAACAGAATTTGATTTATTTTGCAATTAAATCATGAATATATAAACAAAAAAAACAAAAAAAGAGTATTCAAGGTTTAATGCAATTGCCACATATTCAGCGGTGATCTGTCAGAGACTAATTTAAATCTTTTCTGGATCTTAAATTTTCCGTTTTCCTCAACTCTGGACCTCGAGATCCACTTTCCTGAAGAGTTTCGCTCCAACCTAATCAAACACACCTGAAAAGGCTAATCAAGGTCTTCGGGATTACTACAAACAAAGCCACTATAAAGCAAGCCTGCAACCTTTATGCCTAGTTCACACTACAGGGCCCGTATTCATGAAAAATCTTAGTGCTAAGAGTTGCTCCTAGTAACGAAATTCTAAGAATATTCTCAGAAATGTGGGTGTTTCCTCTTTAAACTAAAGAACAGATCCTAGTAAAGAAAAAAGTAATTCAGAAAGAATCTTAACCCTTAAAAGAGGTCTTAAGGTCCAAAATGGTTAGGAGTATGGACGAGGACTTTTAAGAGGCTTAAGAGTTTCTTTAGCAGTGGAGAAAATGGACGAAACATGAAGAGGGAAAAGAAATGTGTTGCACACAATGCATGACAGTGAGTTAATAAGACGTTATTAGATCGTGCAGGGATAATGTTTGTGACCGATCTTATTAGAGACGCGCTAACATCTCCGACACCGCGCAGAAATGCCATAGCGCCAGAAATGGAAGTAATCACTGCATTAACTACATGAACATATTTGGCAACTGGAAAAATGCAACTATGCAGCAGTGATGATTTGGGTCTGTCACAACCTTCTATAAGCAAAGTGATCACACAAACATTTACCTTATCGTGTCGCTCGCTGTTCATTTCCTATAAAATACGTTAAGTATGACAGCATGGTAAATAAAAAATAAAGAATATATATACATATATAACGTGTGTGTGTGTGAGTGAGAGAGAGAGAGTATGGTAAAACAGGAAAGATTACACCTGTAATTTCAAAGTAAAGGCTTATAATAGACCCTACTCTTAAAAGCGCTCTTTTATTTCCTTCTTAGACAACCAACCAATCACAGCCTTCAAAATACTGTATCAAAGCTTGCAACGGGGTCAGCCCCGCCTCCTCACTAAGATTAAAGTTTTTCTGTCTTTTCCTCGCTCAGAGTTGCTCTCAGATTGGTCCTGAATCACTTTTAAGCTAAGACTCCTAGTGAGACATTTTTAAGCTAAATTAGGAGCTCTCTGAGAGGATTCTTAGAAGCTTTAAGAATAAAGATGAAGAATTCAATTAAGCTTTAAGAATAAAGATGAAGAATTCAAGCCTCTGAGAATTACTCTCAAGAACGCTGCTAAGAATTGACTTAAGTGTAAAAAAATCTTGGCTCAAAGCTGCGCTTAAAAGTTAGTTATCAAGCATCTCAGTCGTAATTTAAGCGAAGTGTAGGACTAAATCTTAAGCGTCAGTCTTAGAGTTGATTCACGACACTTTGCTGTGCCACAAACTTCCACAAATTTTGGATGACGAAATACGCATGGACCAATCACTGAATAGATTTGCTTATTTAAGAATATTCTTAGATAAATTCACATTGAATGGTTAAATATCTAATAGGAGTTTACATTCAACACACATTTGACAATAAAGAATTTTCAAGAGAATACATTATGGTAAGAAAATGAATCGTCATCACAACCTTCAATCTAGACGATAGTATCATGTATCGATGATAGTCAGAGATATCGCCTGTTGCTGATTTCTTTGACGACAGCAAGACGATTATAATTATTATTATTATCCGTCAAAAATATAGGCGCTTCAGAAACTTGCCGCGGCGCGGCTGGTGAGTAGCCGTGATCAGCTCCGGTGGCTGTGTCGGAGCCGTAACGCGCCGCAGACGTGTGCAGTGTAAATAAGGGGTAAGAGGGTAAGTAACTTATTCATGACACAGTGTAGGTAGCTTCACTGATTATAACGGGAGTGTTTTTAAAGAGCATATACTACTCGTGCTAGACTGGAGTCAGTTATGATGTTCTTTGGTAATGTAAATATTCTTTGCTCGTTTTCTGTTGATTTTAAGCCCGATTTGCACATTAACGAGCTCGCCGACAGGTCGGGCTGTAATCGGGGGAAAATCAGCAGGTGACCAGCGCTCGGCAATCTTTATGTGTGAACTACTCAAAGACGCATCAAAGAGGCTCGCCGACGCTTCGCCGACACCAAACGCTGGACCAGTCGGCCGACTCGACATCACGTGGTGTCAGGTGTCGCAACGAGCTACAGCCAATGAGAGAGCAAGCATGGCTTGAGGTCACTGGAAGAAAAACAGCAACAGCAACATGGCTTTAAGAAAAGTTTGGACACAAGAAATGGAGCGAATCTTTTCATCACGCAAACAGCTTGCAGTGCTAATTTCTTCCCGATGTTCATTTTCAAATAAACAACTTCTGTTTCACTTGTTGTTTCGTGTCATTCCCGTAACAAAACATGGTTTGGGGACGGGATAGAGTCGTTGGGTGAGAGTTGTTGTCCGCTCGTGTAGTGTGTGACCTCCTTTTGCGGATCATTTACGTAGTGTAGTGTGAACACCACAACGACTTCAAGACAGACAATCAAGTCATGTAGTCTGAACAGCACAGCGATCTGCCAATGTTTTAGACAAAAAAGCGTAATGCTAATGCTTCCGGTCTGGCAGTACGTGGGAAAGGAGACCAGAGGCCGTTTTTTTTTAATGGATGTCAATGGAGGAAAGGCTTCCCTACGCTGAATAAACAGCTTTTTAGAGGAAACAGCTTATTTAATGAATCGACAGTCTATCAGCTAATCTCTATGTTTTACACTAAACAATACTTTTGGATTTAACTATTTTTAGAGTTTACAACGAAAAAAATGCTGTTTTATAAGCGAAGTCACTGACTTTTTGCGACAGGTGGTATTCCAGTTTACGGCACTTCCTATGGTATCCGTAAACTGCGATTGACCCTGCGTTCCATTCGGAAGGGCTCATCCCTATGCCCTAATCCCTTCAAAGGGTTTACCCTCCGGAGTGAGAGCTTCGAAGGGTTGAAGGGTGTAGGGGGCCAAACAACAGTTTCTTGAAGTGCCCTTCTGCATCATCATCACGTCCCCACACAGAGGCGCCGTCATCATGCAAAGAATCTGTGCAAAGGATCATGGGGGCCCGAAGTGTCCATCAGTTGTACCCTTCGAAATCCTTCATTCCGAAGGGCCCTTTGAAGTGAACAGTTTTGAGCACTTCGGTCTGGCCATGATTGTTTTCACTCCGAAGTGCCCTTCGGAGGGCGATATATCCCGTTTGGAACGCACCGTGAGTGTCCACTCTGACTGAAATTCAGTGACGTCAAGGCTGTAATGTGATTGGTTATTAAGGCACACGTGATCCAAGTTGACCGTTACGCTTTCTCCAATAGTAAGTAATACAGACCCTCGTATCTCCCAATAGTAAGACAATCTCTGCTATAAAGTGGATCTGCAGGAAAGTGGATCTCGAGGTCCAGAGTTGAGGACCCCTGCCATAGACCATCTCTTGGGGTAATTTATTGGATGGTAAATCATTTTATTCTGTGCCATCTTAATATCAAAGTCATGCATGAGAAATGTATTTGTATACTGACTTCACCAAACAGAACAGGAACAGGGCTCTGGAAACCTGTTTGTCATCATTTTCACAATTCTGCTTGATGCCACAGACTTCTCCTTTAATATTTGTAATTAAAAAAAAGCTAGCGTAGCTCACAAAACAGATGAGTAAAAGGGATTCAGTAGTGAAACTGCTCTTTGCTAAAGTAGGTGACCTTTTACTCTTATAACTCAGTTCCTGCTCTACAATTCCATAAATGCCTTATTGATTCTGCATTACATTAGAAATCAAACCAAGAAAAGTCAAAGCAAAAATACTTCCCGCAAATACAAACAAAACTTGCTATGCAGGTTATTTTGATGTCAGTGTCAAAGAAAGGAAAGCATTCAATAATAGAACTGAGTTTGTGGTTTTATACTGCATTGTTTGCTCCCAAAGGGAGTCTTAAAATCTTCAGTCACCGCACATTCAGCCGTTGTAGTTGTTTGCACATTGTCAGTTTTTATAATATCAGTTCTCATAGTAGTTCATAGTCCTTTCCCAACAATAGGATGCCTTTATGATAGCAGGTGTCTCGTGTATTGAAGGAGAACTTATTTTCCCACTGGCATCCTTTCTTCCATTTTTGCTTTTTTACAGGTCACTGTTGTCTGCCATCTATAGATGTTTTTCTTTTATCTCATCTACTAATGTTATTTTCTTCTACATCACCAGCTGCAGAAACATCTACAGCTCCATCAACAAGAACAACAACCACTGAACTAACATGTATAATAGCTACAGCGGCATCTATAGCTCGATTAACAAAAAATCCTGCACCGACATGTATATCAGCTACAGCAACATCTACAGCTCGATCATCAACAACAACCCCTGCCCCACCGTCTACATCTCGCTCAGCAGTCACTGAACCAACATCTACAACTCAATCAAGACCACATGCACCAACTTTAAGTTCAACTGTGCTAACATCAACCACTCTGTCATCAACAACAGCTGCACCGAGCTCAACATCAACTGCATCAACATCGATATCAGCTGCATTAGCATCTACTCGAACACCAACATCTACTTCTCAAATGACATCTCAACTTACATCTACAACTCAACCAGCAAGTCAGTCTACGTCTTCATCTCTAGATTCAGTCCCACAAAGTAAAAAAGCAATTTTATTTGATCTGTTCATGCATGTTTGATTAAACACTATTCAGATTTTGTTATTAAATTAGAGTTTTATTCACCTATGCTAATATGAATCTAATGTGAGCTTTCATTTTACAGATATGACAGCATTTGCTTATGCAACTTTTAAATTGAGATCCTTTGTTGAGCTGAGCAATGATGAAATCATTACATATATTGAAAAGGTGAGCTACTATTTTGTTATTAACATTTTTTGTCTAATTGTAAGCATTAAGTTGTTGCCGAACTGTTGAAGAATGAACAACAAAACACATATCAAGCAAGCAATTACGATGGAAATGTAATGTACCCAGGGCAGGAAAACAACAACTCTCTGTTTAGAATGTGACATCTGAGAAAGAGTTGGCTGACAGCAGAATAATTAGATATAGAAGCTGTTGTTTTATTTTGTAGGTAAATTAACAGATGTTACTGTACTTTTTTTTTCATTGCAGTTTGTCAAGCACGTTCAATCAAACATTAGTGGGACCATCAGGATTACTGTGAAGAAATCAAGAAAATTGTTGGCCTAAGGATCTGATGGATAACTTGTGACTGACCACATGCCATCCTCCTCATCAATCTCTGAAAGCTCTCTCCTGAGCCAAAGCGAGTGCCCCCTCGATGACTAGACCCGTGAGTTTTTGGACTTAGCGTACCATGCACAGTTTCTGGACAGCTCACTCATTACCTTCTTCCGTACTGGACTCAATGAACCATTAACCGCGAACCACGCTCTCAAGCCCAGCATTCCTTCCACAGTCCACTGCGCTTCCCATAATGCCGGTTGCCATCTTGTGTCTGGACCGTACACACTTCCCCCGAGGCGGTGGCGACCGCTACAAACTGCTGTCTATTATTCCATTTAATTATTTTCTTTGTATCTTTTTTTTGTTTTGAGATATTGCAAGAGGAGATGCTCTAAGTACCTCAGGAATAAGTGTTAAATCCTCTTATTCTCAGAAAACCAGACAGGTACAAAAAAAAAAATTTAAGCTAAGTAGGATGTCAGAAATACTTATATACATTTTTTTACAATATTTTTCTTGTAAATTTTTTTTTCTGCGACAGAAAATACATCTGTCCACACCAGGGTGTATTATGCCTATTGGGCCTATATATGGATTCAGCCTTATTTTGTATGTTTTATCAAAATTAAGATATTGCCATGATCTCCAGCTGGAGTGCCTATGAACTCCACCAGAGGGCACTCCACCTCTGACTCTTGCCACTCTATCCCAGACTACATTTCCCATAATCCTTTGCCGGACTCATCATCTCTGATTGCATTCACCTTGTCTTGTTTCCTCATCAGTTTCACCCTATTTATAGCCTGGTTACCCATTCATTCACTGCTCAGTATTGTTAGCCTGTAGCGTTCCCGTGTTTCCCTAGTTTTCCTAGTTCCTTGTTGCCTTGCCTTGTTTGGACCCTGGACTGTTTCCTTGTTTCTGATTGTTTGCTGCCTGCCCTGACCCTTGCCCGTTTTGTGGATTACTCTTTTGTCTGCCCTGGATTATATCTGTTTGCTGTTGTTTGACCCTGCCTGTTTGACCACACTTTTGAATAAAAGACTGCATTTGGATCCACTGCTCCGTCGTCACGTCTCCCACGTTACAGATATAATTTACACTTGAATAGTTTTATTAAACAACTAAATTAAATAGTCTTCAGATTGTATAATTTATTTCAATGCTTACAGTCTATATTTATTTATTAGGTCATAGGTCATAGGCATAAACGAGGACAGGGATTTGTGTGCATGATTGCATTCGAGTGTGTGGTGGGAGGGTGTGTGTGCTCGTGGGTATGTATTTGTGCTCACATATGATACTGGTTTTAATTGTTTTAAATAAAAGTTGGCCATTTTTAAATTAATAAAATGAGTTTCGAGACATAGAATGTGGTGTTTTTCAAATGTCCTTTCTATTGTTGTTATTTAATGTTCCAAGACTTCCGATGCAAAAGCCTCTAAAAGCCTCATCTGTCAAAAATGAGCTAACAATATTGAGTGAATGCTCTCTGCACATAATATACCATCATAAAATACTTTAACTTCAAACCAGGTAAATCCCAGCCTCAACCTATTCAGAAGTACAGACAGAAACCTATTCATAGTCAAGGTGTCTGATATTGTTAATTTTGATTAAAAACATCAGACGGACTTCTTAAGCCTTCTTATGTGTATTCATACCAGGTGCACTTAGTAAACATTTTAAAAACATGTTTTTTTCAGACCAAACAATGAGTTCTATTGAATCACTTTTTATACCGTTGTTGCATGGTGTCCATTACAGTGGACAGCTATGCAACTCCCTCAAAATAAAATATATACTTGTTTAATCATCTTGGATGTGACATTACATCTCGGATGTAATAAGCGACGTACAAAGAACCTGGTTGAGCTGCGCTAGAGAAGACGAAGAAGAAGGGCTGCTTTTGTAGCATGTTGTCGCCATTGCGAAGAGACACTGTTTTTTCCACCCCGGTTCCAAAACCCCTCTGTTTGGCCTTCCTAAAGCAGACAAACTTATTTTTAACACTGTTCCTAAACTTTATAACCCCAACGTTCATCTGTGTGCTGCACATTTTACAGAGGACAGCTTCCAGAAACTAAAAAAGTACAATGCTAGCTATGCACAAAAGATTCTCCTGCAGCTGTATATTTGCAGTTTTACTGTTGTAATTAAATAATACTATACACTGAATACATATTATCGTTACACCTTTCCTATATACTGTAAAAAAAAACCTCTCTGAAACATCCTGCTTGCCAAAATCCGTTCTTGCAAAGGTTCTGCACGATTGTAAACATTCTCAGGGTCTGAATAAAATTGACATCATTGTTATTATTTACAGCTGAGCAGATGAAACTCGTGGTTATGGTAAGGGACGTGACCTCTCCGAAACACACTCTAAGCGGTTCGCTAATCACAATGCACTGGGCCAGCTAACCAACAGTGCTGAGGTCTGTTCTTCGTACCTCGCTTAAAACATCTGAGATGATTTGACAGATGCCAGATCTTTCAGTCATGATAACTGATCTCTGGCTAATTTGGTTCTTCAAACAAGCTAGCGGATTGATTAAAATATCTGGATGAAGTTGTCTTAGATTACACTGTGTTGACATGTTCATTAGAAAGGGCAGATATATGCAGTGTTCGAACTATACCGTGGACTTTGGGGGAGGCCACTTGTTTTTGTTTTTGGATACTTGAAACCACGATCAGCAGTGCGGTGATTGGCTGGTGGCAAGACAGCAACGTAATGACATCATATAATAAAGATCAAGGACACAGCCTAGCGAGCAAAATGACATACAAGTTATAATATGTAAATAAAATGTGTAACCGTTTTTAAATGATTCAAAATCATTTTTCACCCTTTCTAGGGTTTGTACAGGCTTTGCATTTTTCAATGTCAAGAGTACTGAATTTAGCAGTTCATTTAATTTTGAAGCAGATTTGTTACACGTGACAGCATTAACTAAAGTTCCTTAATCCATAAGATCCATTTTAAGACAGAACTGTTTAAATTAATTGTGCATCATGAAAGCATTCTGAGATTTGAGAAGTGAGTCTGCATCTCAAATGAATGCACGGCTCAGACAAACTGTACGTAATGTGTGTATGACTGCAATAAAATTATGAGATAATTATTCCTTCACGGATAAATCTTACAGTGAGTAAAATTGGTTGTGCCTATTATTACAGATTATGCAACATTTTAATTATTTTCAAAATAATCTTAAAATGATTTTTCCTGATTTAATAAGGTACACTTGAAAGAAAATAGGGGCTAGAACAAAACAAATGATATAATCTAATCCTGTTTATGTGAAATAAACTGCTCCAGAGCAGGTTTGAGCTCATGTTGCTATGACAACAACTTCGGGATTAGCTTCAGAGAACCTAACAATCTTCGATCATGTCAAATCACCAACAATAAAATCCACGTACGAAGAACCCTGGGTAGATTAATTACAAATTGTAGTTCGTTACTGATTACAAATTATATTATGAAAACTGTAGTTCATAACGTAACCTATAGGTTACTCATTTTGGGAAATGCATTCCGACTACTTTTTAGATTACTTTTTCTCAAACTTGTTTCAAACTTACCATTAAGTGTAACGTATTGATATAAAAAAGCAAAGAGAAAAAATGTATTCCATTTTTTTATATCAACATCATAAAATTAGGGCTGGGCGATAATTCGATGACGATAATTATCGCGATATAATTTTCCTCGATAAAACGATATGAAGAGTTCGATAAATGTTCGATATAATGTTTATGCGGCAAAAGCGGAACGAAACAGCGGGACTCATTTGAAACGTGCCACTCGGACCATTTATCTGCTCGGATCACAGTTGAAACTGCCGCGCGACGCGAGCTCACTAGATCAGGGGCCCGTTCTTCGTACGTCGCTTATTACATCCGAGATTAAATGTCACATGTTGTAATAGATAAATGAAATGTGCACTGTTTTAATTTTATTTTGATTCTTTACATGATTCCCAATTATTTATATTCACGATTTCTAATATTTCCTGCTGGGAATCTGTAACCATGAAGAAGCTTTTTATAATCAGACACATTCTACACTAACAGAAAACAATAGTGTGTTGGCTCTCTCACTCTCTGGCTCTCTAGAATAGCTTGCACTATTGACATAGTTTGATCCTTTATAAATTACTTTCAGGTTTGCTGGAATGCAGGATCCACCCGTGACCCAGAAACTCAGATTCATTCTATCAACAGAAACACAAAGCACCCATACATTTTTAATATTCACACAAACCAGGAAATAACCAGAAGATACATGGGTTTCTCCACTCCTGTTCAACTGGACAGCTAAACATTCAGAAATAAATCTGAACTGGTCATTAACACTTATATATATGACTTATATTTCATGCTGTGCATCTCTGTTTGGGTTACGAGGGCACTTTTTTGTTCTTTACCGTTAAGGAGTGGTCAGTGTTCCTGTAATTAATGGGAAGTGTGTCAGTGCAGAAAGTGAAAGTGTTCAACTGCATCAGGACAATTACAACAGGTTATTGTTAGCAGTTTGATATAACACTCTATATTTGTTTGGGTGTCCCTGTCTAAAAGATGTCTGATATTTGTATTATTTGTAAACATATATAATAATAATAAATAACTCTGTTGACAAATTGTTTTATTTATTTACTTATCTATTTATCTATTTATGTATTTTACACTAATGACATTCTACGAACCTGTCATATTAGTAAAAATGAATGGGTGGGAGGAGTTTAAGGACAGTATAAGTTTGCATTACTCATGTTAGGTTGCTTTTCTGGCATTAGGTTTGGTTTATTATATTTATTGGATTGGCAGATCAATACCAACAGATAAGATGTCAATTTAAGTCTAAATATTTGATATGATAAAATAAATAAATGTTTAGTTTAGACACACAGACATCAAGAATCAGTATGATAATCATAACAATGGTGACCATCAAAAAAGCATGTTGTAGCCAATAAAAACTCATCCATGGCTCCCATCAAGAGA